CCGTGGAAGAAATGTTAGTGTGCACAACTTCCGCGATCCGAGGATTGGGATTGGGCATGATTCTGAAAGTAGTAGACGACGCCAAACAATATAGACTCCTACAGGTATCTCTCAGTTGGGATAACGTGGAATCAACTTTCCGTCAAAACATCTCAACCCAGACTTGCGTTTACCCCCCTTAAAAATGTTGTTTTATAAGTTGATAAGCCTGGATTGGCGTTCTGGCCAATCATCATCCAGACGACATGAAAAGGTTCATACAAATAGGCCCAGTTGACAGTATAACTCTGCCCATCCATATTCATGTGGAAGCGTCCCCAACTCATGTATCTACCCTCGACCGCGTTGATTGCAGATTCCCAACGATCAATTGTGCCACCCTTCATTTGTTATGCAAGCAAGGATAGAAAAAAAATCATAATTTGGGATTATTCCAGACCCAGCTTCACTTGGCATCTTTAAAAATTGGTTAGAGTACTGCCTTTGTGCCGGTTGAATTAAAACAGAAAAAGCCTACTTTCAAAGAATCCCTAAGCAAATTAATGCCAAAGAAGCTATCCTTTTTGGTACTGGCATACCTTTCATTTTGTATGAACGGGCGGGTGGAAGGGATTCATAGACTAGTCGCACCGGATTCCGAAGGAGAGCTGTTTAGGACTTTTGTCTGTTAAATTGTGCGAAGTGGACTTCGGCCCACCGTCCGTGCTGAGCTTTGTCTTCGAAACCCAGCTTGTCATCATATTTCACTCATTTTTTGTTTAATGTTTACCGGCCCTAATTAAAACGGAATAAGATCTGTCAAATGAATCTGGGTTCTTAAAAATGCCTTAATTTCAACATACTGCTACGGTGTTGCAGGAGGGTGTCTGAAACTTTAACAAAACTGCAATACTTCGCCTTCCCCTGAAACCTTAACCCCTAACCACCTTGGCTCATTTGGCAAAACCTCACGCTTACAGGCTCTCTAAGAACAGTTTTGCCGCAGTTCATTTCGGGTGGAAGCCGTTTTTCGTTTTGAGATTTTTATAAACCTACATTTATTTGCTGTCGGAATGCTAGTATACCGTTTCCAAACAGCATAACAAGATTAATTTCAGAGTACCTAAACCATTTCATGTCAATGGTACCATCACTTTGTATGAAAGGCTATTTGACTATTCGTTTATTGGTCTCATTTAAAAGCCGAACTAAAATTATGAAAGGAATAAACGCGCATGCTATTGTGGGTTTGCAGAGCGGTAGGCTATACATTTATTTTATCTAATCAACAGAAAAATTTGCAAAAACATACTTTGCATCCCAGTGACACCAATTTTCTTTTAACTAAGCTTATTCGTCCTCATGCGTCAGCGCGAAATACTTTCGAAATACCTCTTCCGATGTTAGATCACTCTCGACTCTTGCCTCCACCATCGGTTCACGACAAAATCACGCTGCTTGAAGACTGTTAAAGGACAATTGTGCCACAGTTCGTCTTGGCCTCACTGAAAACCATAGATGAGCTATTATGTTCTCTTTAGAAACAAAAGCTGTGCTTCGAAGACTTCCTCGATCGAGTGATGTCGGTCAACCTTTTGTTTCGCTTGAAGCGGCATGTGGAAGGGATTTGTAAATAGACCCCACCGAAAGCTGAAATATGATTACCCCAAAACTGGGAAAGTAGATTCGTGCAAATAACTCTTCGGCACACTCGCCCGCAACTCCGATAATTTTTGATATGAACTTACCTCTGTCGCATGACAATCATCATCAGAGCCTTAGGAAACTCCGCCATGTACTAAAACAGAAAAACACCAATTCATCGAGATCACAAGACGGCATGCTGAGGACTTATTCGCACAAATCTACAGTCACAACATCTCCAAGGCAATCTTTCATCGGCTCCCGGTGAGGCCCATTTACAAACCCTCTCCACTCGCCCCCTCAAAAGACCTAAAAAGTGCACCAGCATCAAGCTGATGTGATGGTTTGAATCCACGAAGGAGTGATTGCGATGCAATTATACGAATGCGGGCTATGCTTTAGCCTGTCTGACCGTGACAAACGTCTTCAGAGTCAGAAAAGCATGGTTTAACACAAATTCACCAAAACACGAAATCAAGTAAGATTTACTATTTGAGAAGGATGGTTTTTGACTGACGAGGAAAAAACTCAGCATGCATTCGTCGAGGCCGCTGGGGTTTGATTTCAACACTTTTCCGATTTATTCCCATTCATTCCCATTCCGGTAAGCAAAAATTACAGCTTTCTTTCACTTGACTTTCCAAGCGAAATAAATAGCATAACTTCATGAGTAGGCAAAGAAATTAGTATAGACTCAGCTTTAGTTGATATTTGAAAGATCACTTCTAGAATACTATCAGTAATCGTATTTCCTTACGAAATGAAACGCTTAGTTTAAGAGAATCCCTAGACAGTTTCATATCAATGAAAACATCACTGTATATGGACGTTTATTTATTTGTTTACTGACCTCACCTAAAACCGAAAGAGAATTATGAGAAGAATCTGGCTTTCGAAGACACTCTTGATGACGTCATGTTGCTGTGGGGTCGTAGGACCAAAGACTTATTCTAGCAAATCAACAAATCAACCCGAAAAACATTCCTTCTTTGCCTACCAGTCACATTTACATCTGAAACCCACCAAACTTTTTATAAGAAATTAATTAGCTTAACGAATTACCAACTCCTAGATTACACCACGGAGATGCATACTTTAAGGAGTTTTATACTTGTTTTCCGAGACCACCAGTAAATAAGTTGAGATGTATTCAATGAAATTGAATGGAGACTTCAGCTCCATTCAGCTAATTGTGAGAAAATACAAATATTAGTTTTTCATCACCCTAAATGAAATAGGGCGAATACATCTCTTATATACTTGGCCTAGTTCTATCCTGGTCGCTGAGTTCTTCA